AATAAATCACGCATTCGCCGAACGTTTAATCTCCGCCAGAATCTAGCGCTAGCGGTCTGAACCATATAACAAAGTCTCAGAACTAAATGTAAAATTATTCAGAAGTTTTAAGTGATTTTCTGCAAATGTCAGTGTGAAAATGGGGCCCATTTTCGCCCATTTTTTGTAACTGGCGCCGTGAAATGTATTAGAGAACTATGTATGCCGGCATTTTTCTATAAGACAATAAAAATATCGCGTATAATTGTCGAATGAAGTAACGGTTAAGGTCGGTTCACGCAAGGGCGGTTTCCTACGTTACGTTACGTTACGGCCCCTTACGTCGCGAACAAGCGTGGCGACCGATCCAAGGAATAGCTTTGCACATGACATACGAACCACGAATATCCCGGTGACTTCTCACATGGCGTAAGAAATCGTAAGCAAACGCCCTTGTATCCTTACCCGTATCCTTACGTTACATTGCGTAAGCTTAGCTGCAAGCCACCGGGATATCCGTGCTTCATATCAAGCGTGGCTACCAATTCGAGGGTGTACACCTCTCACGGACATTCGAGACACGAGTTTTTTTTTTTTTTTGTGACTTAGACGCAACGTAAGAAAACGGTGCTGTGTGAACTAGTTTTAAAAGTTGAACAGAGCTCAACTTCTTAGGTTACGCGAGCCTTGTGTCCTAGCTTGGTTGCCACAGTAACTCACCGTCCTAGTTCGTCGTCACTGAAACATTTGTGTTTAGAATGTCGCGTGCCACCGAACTTAGCGAAGCCTGACTTACACAGATGCCTAGAGATTTTATCCGCAAAGTCTCCCTTACTTCTATCTCTACAGCGTTTCTCCCTTTGTGTATGATTCTAATCTCCGACCAGAGCGCCGTGCAGTTGTTACATTCATGAATATGTTTTGCGATTTCCAAGTTTTGTGCATTGTTCTTCACATTTTGTTTTTCGTTTAATCTGTCATTGATACAGCGTGACGTCTGGCCTACCTACTCAAACCCACACTCCAATGGTATATCGTACACTACACCATTCTGGTAACATACCGATTTTTTCCCATGGGACTTTTTGCACTAATTCACGCCTGTTTGAAAAGACGTCAGTTTACTTAACCTAAAATTTAAACGAACGACTGTGTTCCCTCCAAACTGCCTCGCACATGCCTTCAGATTGTGAGAAATCTCACGAAAATCCGGGATTACAGCAACGCGATTCATAAAGTGATCTTCACCTGCCTGAAAACCAGTCATTTATCGCACGTAATACGCTCTTGGAAATAGGTGAATGCTTATACTGTTCCATAACGCGTACAGCTCAGCTATAATTTTACTTCAAACAAATTTTTAGTGAAAAAGGGATAGGCGTGATACAAATCCGTTTTTTCCCTGGAAATTCGTTGTGCCTGATGGCCGCACGACCATCATGCAGAGTACGGTACTAATCGTCCTTCAGTTCTTGGTCTTTCCAGTTCATCGCCGCGAAAAGTAAATCCCCAAACGTCTGAGCGTGCACAACCTATAAGCATACCCCAGCACACTGCGCAGAACACTTAGATCCGAGCTCGACGCCATGCCTCGTAAGACAGCCACCGCGCGCTTAGTCTGCCCCTAAGCCTGTCCCACGTTGTCTTTTCCAGGCACTCGGAGCAGTTAATCTCGCAGTACGGAGTGCCGAAATGGGTCTTCCTCCCCAAGAACAAGCGGCTCTTTTGTCTCGCCGACCAAAGCGGGGATTCCTCCGAGGACGTCGCGCTCACCGAGGAAAATCCACGGCAGTGAAGAGAGAAGACACGCGAAGGGGAATCGGCGGACTGCATCCGTCTCGGAGTGCGTGATGGCGGGTGGCGCTGCAATAGATGGCGCCAGTGGCGCGTTCGCACAGCCATACAAAACCCCCAAAAGAAATAAAGATTTGCCTGCTTTTCCCAGTGGTCTGGAAAGGAAAGGCACGGATTTTCGGCTCCGGCTTTTTATCGTCACGCTTCGAGGGCAGGCCGCTTCATTGTGCGCGCGCACTGAATGGAAAAGGCTCGAGGAAAAGACCGCCCTAATGGGTTTAGGGGGTCGGAGCCTTATGAAGTGGAAGGGATCTCGGCCATACTGCCGGTTCGGTTGTTGTCGGCTTGTCAATCGATCGGGCTGTTCGCAACTGAATAAAAAAAATGAAAGCGTTCTGAACTGCATTATTTGAATCACCATGACGCAGAACGAAGTACGCCAGCGTAACGTTCAGGGTTGATATACAGCCTGTGCGACGAGTGTAATGTCAAATTCGGCTGGGATGCAACTGTCTCGAAGCTAGCTTGCGCTGCTAGACGAGCGCAGCACTCTTTGATAGGACACATCAAGGCCGAGAAAATAATTGATGCGTGAACATCTACGAAATTAAATGGTACTGAGTTATGAGCGACTCCATCTGGTGGGAATCAGTCGGCATTTTTGGTGGACCAGGCAGGCCAGAACTGAGATTTCTTTTTTCTGCAACAAAAACGAATAATATGTCGACGATAATATTCACTAGAGAAGGGGAACAAGGGATACAAAAAACAAACACAAATCTCCATACACAGCTAAGCAACTCGTGCGCAACTGAAAAAATCCGCCTGGTCCTGGCATCGAACCAGGGACCTCTCCATTTTTTGGTGGAGCGGTCTACCAAGGGAGCAAGTCAGGAGTTAGACGTCAGTAGAGCAAACGGGTTTTAGATTGGTGGAAGCTGTTAAAACCCGTTTGCTCTACTGACGTCTAACTCCTGGTTAGCTCAGTTGGTAGAGCGCTCCCCTGGAAATGTAGAGGCCCGGTTCGATACCAGGACCAGGCGGATTTTTCCAGTGGCACACCAGTCACCTAGGTGCGTTTGCCGATTTGTGTCTGTCGTTTTTCCCCTTTTTTCCCCTTCTTTAGGGATCATTATCGTCATTTTTATCCAACTTGCTGTATTTTTGGATTAACAAAATAAAATTCTGTCTGTGGTTTCAAAAAGCTGCATGACGGGATAGATATTATTTTTTGTCGTTTTGTGTTGGTAAGAATGAAACGCAAAGAACAATTCAAGTCTGCTGGTAAGTCGCATTTCTTTTGCTTGCCAAGCCCACACAAGATAAAATTTGTTTTGGGAATGTTTATGTAGCAGGAGATAATTTTTCGGGTGAAAGTTAGTGTCATCTCCCCGGTCTTGAATGACTATTCGGCCAGTGAAGTACGAGTGCTGTTCCACAGTGCTACCTGCAGCACAATTGAGTAAATATGAGAATTCATACGGGTATGAGGATCCGTTCTATGAACCCCGATACGGGGGTGAAAGTAGTGACTAAAGGTCTTAAGTTCGCAGCAGGGCAGCGACTGTGACGTTAACAACCACCGCAAGAACGCAGCGCGTCCCTCTTTTTTTTCTTTTTGCAGGCAATAGTGACGCTGCTTGATGCTTTGTGCCACTGAGTTAACTAAGTGACAGAAAAGTAGGCCTGCGACAACCTGAAAGTAAACAACGCCATACACGGAGTAAAATTCATGAAGTGTGGTAAAGCGTGTAAAGTGTGACAGGTGAAGCAAGCTTTCGTTTGAATAAATGGATCAATCGGGTCTAAATATCGAACTGGTTTATATATAGAAGATGACAGAAGATTGAAGGTTCAGTATAACCCGTAAGCCTTAGGTTTACAAAGTATTATGTCCAACCAACCCTCCGCACTAGCCTCTGGTTGACTACCTAAATAAAGTTCCTAAAGAAAGTCCAGCACCGCATCCTTTTTAAGGCCCACATCTAATGAAAAATGTAACTGTGCTATGTTGGCTGTGTACTAAATATCTTAGTCGAGTAAATCCGAGTTCATCCCGCAGGACATATCACGTGATTACACCGATAGAGCGACAATGGTCTTGAGTAGGTTTTCTAAAGAAAATGTACAAATAGTTTACATTGATGTGAGATCGAGTAAATTTGGAATATTACGCAAGTGACAGAAACTTAAGTAACAAACTCTTCCGTACTTCTTGTAATGAGTGCCATTCTACTTTTTAAATTGGTTGCTAAGTTTCATTCGAAGCACAGGTGTCCCGGTGACTCCAGGTGAAAACTCGACGTAAGACCTGTTAACTTACTCAAACGAACGCAGTGAAACTTTACTGCATGAAGTTATCTCGTTCTTATACTTACTGAACAATTTACACGAATTTTAAGATTATAGTTAGATAAAATGCGTCCAAAAGCACTACATGTAATGATATTTATTTTCTTCTGCTATATGTTCTGGTTTTTTGTTAGTAGAGAAAATAATATTTATGTGTTTTCTGATTGTGTTTCGCTAGGCAGATGATCATGTTTATTACAGAGCGACTATGATGACGTACACCAATTATGAGTGGAGTGTTGCTACATTTATGCCTGTATTTTTTTGCGATATACTATATGATACTACCTTTATTCTAGGGTTGCCGATAGTCCCTATAATTGAATAAAACTAATGACTACAGGAGGTGCCAAGTGAGCGCTATCGCATATACGGGTGGGAGAGTATGTAGGAGGAAAGAGAGAAGAGAACAATCATGTGGTTTAGAAGAAACGGGGAGCCGCTAAATAGCGGTGTCATTGCTGGGAAGTGCAACCGCAAGAGATGCGAACTTCGCGCTCCGCTCCTACTGGAGCGCTAACTTTGGCAGGGTTTTAATTCTGAGAGGCTACGCACGACCATCTTCGCGACATCGATGCATAAAAGCAGTATCAAGGTGGTCTGCGCAACATCCTCGTCAAGCAATACATAATATAATTTGTGTTACCACTCTTTTTTCTACAATAGGTGTGAAGGAAGGATTTTTTTGTTGGGTTTTGCGTGGTATTCAATATTAGTCTCCAGGCTCCCATACTCTGCTTCAAGCGTACTCTACAATGCTGTCAATCAACTTGTGCGAGAGAAAGTGCGGCTTCGTCTAGCGTCTCATGATTTAATGTTTTTATATGAATAACTTTCATGTTTTAATATTTTAAGACTCGTGGTCACATGCTTCTTTACGCTCTAGTCAATTGCCGGCAAATCCTTGGCCCATGTACTTCGAGGAAATTCGGTTGAGTGAAGATAGCCCATGCTTTCGGTTTAGAGGTGTCCGGCTCATACTTTTTGCACCGTTTTGTCAGCAGAGGAATATAGAACCTGCAATTGAACGGTAATTGTATACTTTTATCGCACCATCAGGCGCCACTTGGTGCCTGCAACTTGTCTACAACTGGGGTCATTAGTCTCCGCTACTGTTCATGCTTTGAGGTATCCAAGAAATGGCGACAAAATACGTTAAAGGAGTACCCTGGGATTGCGACGGGTTGTTCTCGATCCTTGCAGTTGCCTCTGCAAAGACCAGCAACGAGGTCATGCAAGCGCAGACGTCTCTGTCATCGCGGCGTTCTGGCCCATTGCTGTTCATGCTTCGTTCAACTGACCGAATTTAGGTTTACCCATCTGCCATTCTTCGTTCGCTCCTGTACCACTGCTAGAATGTCATCCATCCGCAGAATCACAAAGTTAAGACGTAACCGAAAAAACATCGATCGGAAAAAAGTAATAGTAGGCAAGAGAGCAAAAGAATGATGGCGCAGCAGAGATACATACAAAAAAGAGACAAATGCCGCTGTGCCATTTGTTTGTTTCTGTTGTACGTATCTCTGTGGTGTCCTCGTCCTTTTTCGCGCATGCCTTCTACTATAAATAAATTTTCCAAGCCTCACATTTGTACAAATATGCGCATTTCGTCCAGATATATTCTTTTTGGGGAGATTAAAAATAAATAATAAAGTCTACAAAGTTCCTACCTTGTATATTAATTTAAATGGAGGTAACTATTTTTTTTTTGTTACACGGAGTTTCGGTCATTTTGCATATTGCCTTGATGACCCTAACATTATCGACCTTTTCTCTGAGGTCGGGTAGACCGTACGGGATTGCCAGCCAAGGAGGAATCTAAAATTGCACATGATACGTACCGGTTATAGCTGGTGCACATTAGTGGGTAGTCGTAAGCAAAACATCTCATTTTTACGACGCTGAAATAGAACACCCCGAGCACTTTTGAAAGCGAGCTGTTGACATTCTTCATGCAGTTGTAGAGCTTGCAGTCGTCCTCGCAGTTCGTTCTAAAAGAAATGTTTGACAAAAATTATCTTCAGGCCTCATACGTTGCACTTTTTGACGAGTAGATACGTGGCTGCGATGGAACAGTTGGGCTCGGCTCGGTACCCTGGACACCACATTTGAGCACATTGTTCTTCGCGTATGCGCAAAGAGACAATAAAATACATTTTTGAACTGTTATAAATGTAGATTTTGCTAATCGCATATTGTTTAGTGCGCCGAAACAGAACTAGTGCACGAATGTACAAAACCTAAAGCTTGCTTTTCGGTAAAAAAATTTGAATATATAGCGGACTATTTCAAACCTTCGAAAGTTCTCCGCCTTTTCACTGTGATGCATCCGCGGTGCCTCAGCACGTCAGCGAAACTCCGCTCACGCTCGACTGAGTGGAGGTGAAGTCGGAGTCGAGTAGCGTTTAAGAATGCTACCATAAAAATCTCTCGTTATAGATAGGGTTTAGTTGTTTGCGGGGTTCGTTTTTCTTCAAATTCCGGAGTGTTTTTCTCGGGATTTATTTTCCCCAGAGATTCGCTAGCTTTTGGTATCAATATACGGTACGGCGGATACGGGCCTGGGAATCACCATACTCAAGAAAACATTCGCGTGATCTAAATATTTAGAAAACGTCGCCAACTGTCCATAACAGAAGGGGAATTTATAAGGTATGCGGTTCTAAAGAAGGAGGCAGCCTAGCAGATAGCTGAGTACGTTTGTGTTCCAGGTCAGCACAAAATAGATGTGTAGATAAAAATTGTATTCCAGCGAAGTGTGACTTTTTTTATTAATATTTTATTAAAAAGATCCATTTTTTTAGGTTTTCATTTATTAGGATAAAACAGGCGCCCGAGATAATTATCGGGATTTTTCAGTATTTACAGAAAGCACGTACACTACTTATAAAATACCTTCTTTTTTAAATCATGATCACGGAAATTCTGGTGTGAAAACAGATGTTCGTCTTCCAGGGATTCACAAGCTGGAATGAACAGATTTCAAGCCAGGGGCTCGTGCCAACTCTCGTGGAGTGTACCCGCGTTCTCTGCTGATGCATTTCAAACCGGGGGCTTTCAAAAATAGGTTAATTGCAAATTGATTGTAGTCCTATAAGGAATATGTGAATAGTATATTCAATCAAAAAGCGCAGTAACCCGGCAGCTTTGAAAATCAGCAAAAATTTAATATTACATTACTTTTACTATTACTGAAAAAAACAACGGTATGTCTTGACTTTTTTTTGCTCGATGAAGGCTATCATTAAAACGGCACGAATAGATTCGAACAACTAATCACGGCTCATTACTGCTTGTATAAAAATTATACTTTTATCTCTAAATAGATCTGGAAATACTTTGTCTCAAATGTTCACGCTCTAAGCAATTGCTGGTTCATTTCAGCATATACCAAGTGGGCATTGGACATCATGTTCTTACATCGTGTACGGCTCCCAGTTTCTGATGCCGTGCTTTTTCTGAAAAGGTTTGATGTAATCGGTCGCGTGATCGTGTTCTCGACAGCACATGTCGACTTCCCTGTTCGTTCCGAGGTCGTCGTAGTCCTTGGCTAAAGTTCCCTCACCGCACCACTTGGTCCCTGAAATAGATACGTGACAGTATGAACAAGAATTGGGTCATCGTGCCTGGAACCGGTCTTCAAGCCGTGTTTACCGCACTTTGACTTTGTTAGCTGTGCTAACTATTGACTCGCAGTCAAATCAAAATATCCAGTCTTCGCCACTTTAATGAAATCAATTATATCTTTACAAAACGTGGTAATTATTAGGCGCCGATAGTAAAGTTGCTCCAGTGACGCAAATAGTTGACGCCGTTTTAGCCGTTGGAATCGAATATTGATCGCTCCCGAATGTCTTATTATCGCTCCAGAAACAATGCGGAGTGCAAGTCGTCTGCTTCTTGCTCAGGAGTTCCGGTGACTCCAGAAAGACTCCGAGCTCTGATTGGTTCTGATTGAAGGATAGTGGGTAGACCTCAAAGCAAGCTGCCTTGGTGTCTACCGACTATCCTTCACCACAACCCCTGCAAAAGAAGCAGACGAACTTGCGTTCCATATACGACCGCGAATATAGCAGACAAGAACACTGATGCGGTCCTTATACGACCGCGAATATAGCAGACATCACAGCGTTAGAAGCGTGACCATAATAAGCTTCGCTTTCGTTTTTAAAGCCGACTGTAAATTTACGGCGAGAAAGTGTGCCGAAATGCGTCTTTGTCACTTGGGAACGCACGGAAGAGAAGATCGCGCCCTCAAGATTAACATGTGATCTAAACGAAAATTGTTTAAAATGCGAGAACATTCGTACACGTAGCGTATTCCCACAAGCTGCGCCCCTTGCTGAGCTCGGCCGTGCAGCCCTCCGGAGTCTGCCCGGGCAGGCTCACCTGGCTCTGCGGCCGTCTGCTCCCTCTTACCGGCGGCCGGGCCGCTGCGCCGCCATAGAGAGGGCTTCTCTGTGGGGTGGCGTTCCTTGGAGTTACACTGCGCGCCAGCCAATGGGGTGGCTGCTACAGCTTACAGCCTTCGTTCCATGGGATAGGGAAATTTAGGTGCCGTTTTGCGCGGCTTCAAAAGGTAAGGTGATAACGCCGGATCGCTCCATAAGACAGTTAATTTTTTCGTATTAATAAATGTGAGAGCGTAAACCGAGCCATTTGTGCTCACTAAGTGAGGATCCTCAGAACACGGTGGTAAGTTTTAGAGCGCAGCTCTTAGGCACCCGTTTCCGGCTTGAACGGCGTCGGCGTCGCCATCACCGTCGGCGTAACCCTGTGGTGCACTATAGGAGGTTTCCCATAGTGCACCGCGGTGCCGTTTCGGCGTGGTGCCGCAACGTCACAATGCCGCAACGTCAGCGCGGTGCATTACGGGACTTTTCCTATAATGCACCACAAGGACATTTCGGCATCGCGCAGAAGCTGCACGTGATGACGCGCGTTTCGCGCATGAAAGAAGGAGGAGGGGAGGAGGAGGGGCACACCTTATCTTCAGCACCCTCCCCCCCTCCTCCTCAAGAGCTGCGCTCTAAATCGGAGTTAAAGAATATAAACGTCCTCCATTTTTTTTTTACCAGCAGCAATGTCAAGGCTTTGCAGAAACGCTTAGACCCCTTATTTATGTTCGATTTTAAAACCACTACATACTCGGTATTGATAAAATCTATAAATATTGATTATCTGGGGGGTCGTAAATGTTTTGGTAGTATGGAAGTCGTATAGTACGTTACATGCGCCTCTCAACGTCAACTTTTGGAGGAAGAGCAGTTAATATTAGTAATTATTGAGGTACCCCCAACCCCAAAGAAGATGATAGTATTTTAAAACAGAGTTGTGTGCAGCGTTACGTGGCAGGAGTATGACATTTTATATTGTGGCTTGATGCTCGGTGTCGTGACACATTATTTGTCGATGAACATATTTCTTTTCTTTCATTCACGAAGCTTCCTGCGCAGATCACACTTGGGCTTGGTCCCGAATTGCTCTGCCGGAAAGTAGACCCAAGTGGACCGAGGCTTATGCAATTGATAAATAGGTTTCCGTGTTCTCGGGGTTTATTTTTTTTTTATTGAATCCCGGGTGCCTTTCGGGATTTGTGTTCTTTAGAGATGCGGTGTTTATTGGTGGCAATTGTTTCTGTCCGATCCGCCTTTCACGTTCCAGAGACGTACGCGCCACTCGAATAGAATTAAAACGCCCTAGAGCCCTGCCGATAAGTAGAGAAAACGGGACAATGTGTCTAGCTTAAAAAAAAAGGATAACACTCACGGACAGTTCATCGTGAGCTAAATCTAGTGAGCACACAGAATAAATTCGAAGACAAAACTTTGTTTATGCGAAGCTTGTCTTTTTTTATATATAATGTTATTCATTGAGAGCTCTACTTTGCGGTTCTTCGATTTTCCCCGACTTTTATAAAACCGGATTGGGGGTTACTTTTTGGAGTTCAGTAGTATACTTTGAAAACACGAAACAATATCTATAAACCGTATTACACTCTAAAATCTCCTGCATGCGGACTTCTACCTCGCGACGCACTTGAGGCAGCAAGCAATGGTATAAGTTTTTGTTTTAATACAAAAAAACATTAACTATCCCATAAAGCAAAGCCAACGGCGTCTTATACAAAAAAAAAAGAAAAAAATAAGAACGGGAAAGAAATGTTTTAAATTTACATTCGCGGAGCGAAACGGCTTCTAGATAGCCATTTGCGGCCGCCGGCCGCAACCTCGGCAGTAGCGAAACATGGCCGTCCATGCCAGTACACTGCAGACAAACTAAGGAAGCGGAAGATTGACATTCATGCTTTCGCATTCAAAACTCATAAGAAGTGCTTAGTTGTCCTCGGAATTTTTAACGAGTGGGAAGGGCGAACAGTACCGCCCCATAATGGCTAGTCTTGAGTAGCAAGGGAATATTCCTCTCGAATTGCCACTGAAAGTTTATGATCATCAAAATATGAATCTGTTCACCTTTTCCATTGGTTCAACTGAACGAGAACATAGGAATGATTGGTGTTCCGAGTTAACTGTGGTACAGAGTAGATCCAGGAGCTTTTGAGATTGGTTGCATGCATTCAATACGTGGCGTATTGAATGCATGAAACCAATATCAAAAGCTCCTGTATTAAGTATAACGACTCACGCGCCCTTTTTTGTGATCTTTACCATTTCTGGTCGAATTCAGAACGCATATGCGTTAATGCAATTTCCTTAGTGTGTTCTTTTCTTGTTTCATACCTGGATATATGACGAATCTATGCAAAATATTGCTGAGAAAATTCAGAATTGACTTGGGAGCCTGTTTTGTGGTGTGTAGTTGAGGATTGTCGCACAAGTTCACAAACTGGTCCATTTCGTCCTTGGTCACTTTCGTGATAGCGTTCTCAGAAACCGCTGTTAACATGGTGTCAATAACGTCCCTGAAAAAATGAAGAGATATAAACCTGTTAATTTATCTTCCTTGAAATTTGGGGCGCGCGAAAGTTCCAATGTAATGCTTACACGGACAGTAATACGCGGCAAGATCGAACTATAATGTGGTAGAATCTACTCGAGCTTGAGTGTTTTCGTCATGCGCATAATGTCAATCAGACATATCATTTTTCTTCAATTAGAGCGAAGGATATGACAGAAGTCGCTGAAACTTTAGAACTTGCAAAAACTTCCCATTTTCGTGGTGTTCAAGTTTATTCCGAGAACACTTAAGTTCTACCAATTGTGGGACTTCAAACTTAAAGTTTATTTTGGAGATTCAACGTAATGATTTCCATAAATACAAAAATGCGAACAGTGAGAGCCGATTTACCAGCAGATTCTTCAATAAAGATAAACTTCGAATTTAAGAATAGTTTCTCTTGCCCATGTTTTGAAAAAAAAAGCAGACAAATGTTTAATGCATAATTATCTTCACTGTGTAAAAACATTTAATCTCAGCACCCTGCCAGCTTGGTTTTAGAAGATATCCAACTGAACACGTGCTGGTAAAGCAAAAATAACTCAACTTTATCTAAACAAAATATAGTATTTGAATGCATGGGATTGGTCTTTGCATTTTTCTAATAATTTGATTGCACAAATAACATTCCTTTGTTTAAATAAAGTATTGGGGTATTAACGTGTCTCATCAGCGTTTATAAAGCGAATCTCCACAATCTAACACAAGGCAGTGTGTTCCCTTTCACGGCAAACTGTAAAACAACAATTACAGTGAAGGATACATGGGCCCCAACGAACGACGAGCTCAGTATGTGATTAGAAAAGCAAATGAGATGTGCATATATATATATGTGTGTGCATTACTACGGCTGCACTTGTCAATCCTCACTCCTTCCGTTTATATATACATATATATATCTTTTGAGAGAGAAAATATAGGTATATGTAACGAGGGAATGTATGAATACAATAATGTGCGACCGTTACCAATCTCCTCCGCGGAAGAGACAGTACTCACACACCAAGTACGTTAGACTTCTCCGCCGTCTTTCATGTTTCCAAACAGTACATACGACACATTTATTGTACTAGGTCTGGTCACTCCGGTGCTATCGGTAAATGGTGACATTAGTGGGTCTTCTTGCTTAGCACAGCACGGTCTTTATGGGCTCGATTATTACTTCTCATAGCATAGACTGCGCAGCCCGTGGAGGCGTACACGTGCGGGGGCAATGATCATCGTATTCTGAGCAGCACCATTCGTTGCGATCCTTCTATTGTTAAGCGTGAAACACATATGAGCAAGAATCGCGTCGCGTCGCGTGGCCAAGCGGCGTTACCGTAGGAACCTCAAATACCATGCCGTTCCGTGATAGTCTCAGCGACGGTTGCTATGATTACGCCACTTGGAGGCGCGATGCGACGCGATTTTCGCTCACATCTGTTTCGGGCTATTGCCGGTTTGGACTGCCACCATCTTTTGAAGAAAAGTGAGCTGGCGAACGTTTGCTTAAAGCGCAGAAATGCTGAAAGAAATAGTGCCTATATGGATATTTTTTATTGCTCCAAGGAAGTGCCGTTCTAATCGCCGCAGAAAGGCATCCTTGATCTCTTAATAGGGACTTTTAGCAAGCCGTTACCGTGTTTCGCGTACCACACTATCGAAGCCTTTGAAGCGACCGCGGGGCACGCGGCCATAAACATGCTTGAGAGGCTCTACTAGCGCGGTACGCTGAACAGGGTAACTGTGTGCTAGAAGTCCCTAATGTTGCTTGGAAAGCGGATCGTAAATATTGGGGACTTTTAGAAAATCGTTCCTGTGTTCCGCGTACCGCACTACCGGAGTCTTTGAAGCAAGTTTTTAGGCGCAAGCCCCGCGCTCACGGTATCGCCCGGGCGCACGCTTAAATGCATGCTTCAAATGCTCCGGTAGTGCGGCACGCGGATCATGGTAACTGTTTGCTAAAAGCCCCTTTTATAGTGAACGTCGTGATAGGCACTCACGAAATCGGCAGCGAACGCATTGGTAAAAAATGTGTTGTATATACGCTTCTGATATAAAAAATGACAACGGCGTTTTGCGAATAAGTGTGCATCTGTATTCTTAGCTTACGGTCAGCGAAATGTTTGACACTCGGCCTTTTGGTAACTTCAGTTAAATTTTGATCATCGGCATTATCGGAATATCGAGACTCTCACCTCAATGAGCCTGCCCTCTCCTGAACAAATAACCTTAACGCTCGTCCACTTTGTGTCGTTTTCTGAGACAGCATGTTTATCGACAGAACAATCGTTTTGGGAGATAAAAAATTGGCAGCAACTTTTATTTACAAAGTCCTATAAGGCTTTAGATGCAGTATTTAAGATGCGACTGTTTAAAATTATTTAGAAGACATACAGACGTTGTTTCAAGGTGTAAACAAGAACCTTTTATAAATTTTCCCCTTACAGTCAGCCCGATACGTGGCAAACGTTCAGGGACATTCCGTTGAATAAAAGGTTTTGAAGGCTATATCAAACTTTTGATTGATTTGCGGTCTATAATAACCAGGCAATTGCAAACCTCGGGAACATTGCGATCCTTTTGTCAAGAAAAGTAGAAATTCCTAATTTTGTGATTGTAACCCTAAAACTCAATAAAAAAAATAATGACTTGTGGAATAAAATTACACGAGTCCAAATGTTTTTTTAGTGCCAGCGCCAAGACGGTGATGTCTATGAAAGTTGCGGGTGACTGGGTGCTTAGGTCACACGGCGCCAATTTGCAAGCTCAATGTGGCGGGGAAACTTAATTGGCGTACAGATCATGCGACGTTAAGTCACTTTACATTCATTGACGTCACGTGACACAAATACAAATTGAGTTTTCACTACACCCTCTCCTTTCCCACATCTATCCTAAATGTTGGAAAGGAGGGAGTGGGGTGAAGGAGATGGGGACAATATCAGTCTCTAACTCTTAGCCACAAACTCACTTGCTTCCGAAGGCATTGCAGTGGAGCACCTGACCATCTGAATCCTGAGATAAGTCTACCAACCTGTGACCTCCGTCGTGAATATCTGTTATGAGGCGACTGCTGACACCCGGCCCAGACCTGCATTTATTAAAACGATCTAAATGACTACGATGTTACAATGCGTTCCCTTTGAAGCATTGCGTGTCTCTTAGGGCATCTTGCGAAATTTGAAACTTGCATGCTGTCCTTTATTTTGAACATGTTCGTTAACTTTAATAAGAAAGAAATGCGGATTGGAAGAAGATAAAAAAATCACTCAAGGACACTAAGTGACAATACTCAGTGAAGATTAAAAAATGGAATGTGTAAAAGGGGATATGGGAAATATACGTTTGTTACTTGGCAGAATGGTTATTTGCTTGTTAATATAGTCTTTTTTAAATAAAACGTTAGATGATGCATTCTATACAACGCGAAGTAAACGCAGAGTAACGTTGAAGTGCATCGAACTTTGTTATACGATTGGGCGTTTTGTGTCGTTTTCGTTGGAGCGGTACTACAGTCACCACTAAAGTCCCTGGATCCTGGGAAAGTAGCGCCATTGCCTTCCCTTCTTGCTAGCCGAACACAAACAAATACCAACATACAGACGACCAAACACTCGCAATTGACAAATCGTTCTCCATCGCTATGAAAATCGACATTTCGGCCCCTTCTAATATTTGATGCTTCGAGAGGGTCGTTGTAATCCAGTTGCACCAAGATAGTCATAGAGCATCATCGTACTGAAGGCGTTCATCGCCAATATATGCGTCTCTGGCACTGTGTAGGCAATCAACTTATTATTCATGCCCATCTCCATGGGTCTTTTTTAATTATATTGTTCTTCCTGAATATTTAAAAGAAGGAAGATAATTTTTCGATTCCTCCAAGCACCGACACCGCACGTGGTGGTGGTGCGAAGATGTGCGCTTGTTTCGCCGGTGTGTGGACAGCAAAATCTCGGTATACAAAAAATGCCTCTATAAAGCTACCCGACACCAGCGAACTTAGATTGGCTCACGAGGAATTGAGAGGTCATGGAGAAATCGCTCATTACAAGGACCAAAATGGCGACCATACGGGGAGCTTGGCGTTACTTTCCCACGACCCAGTGTGTTTAGTTACCACTACGCACATTCTGGGAAATTCATCGGCGATGTTGAAGCTTCGTGCTTTTAGCGTGAGCTCCTGCTCCTTTGCCTGGACTTCAAGCTTCAGAAGATTTATCATATTCGTGTTCAGTATCAGCATAGCGCAGAGGTACCAATTTTCAAGCGACCTCATTCTTGGCAACGATGGAGAAATTGCTGAAACGACACGAAATTTTAGACACAAGTTACTCAAGCGACAATTATGTTCACAAAACGTTCCAAAATAAATGTCGTAAAAAAATTACTTGCGCGGCTTTATTGTTTGGTTAACGTGGGAAAGGTAATATGGTGGTGTCTTTGTCAAAACATATATTGGTTTAGATACTAGCGTTACTGAAGCGTTCTTGCAAAAATATCTTCATAGCTTCATAGCTGATGTGAAAAAAGGATACAGGATTGCGACAATACGAAATGCATTCGGAGCGGTCTTGCAACGTACGCGTAGCTGTTCTCAAACAGTTCCGGTTATCAAAGAACAGATATGGCGGCTTCAGAGCGAGTTGCAAAACAGCATATGTGCCAGGTTTCATATGAAACGCACGACAATTACTCGTGCTAAGGTATAGAATATTGCATTTCCTCACCCAAAACAGACGGACTCGCGTTTCTGCCTATTTTTTTTTAAGCACAGTGAATATCTGGCAAAAAGTAAAAATAATTACACTCTGCGCTGGGAATGTTTGCGTAAGGAATGTTAGCCGTCTGTCGTAAGGCATGGTAAAATCTTTTAAGTGTTTGAACCTATACTGCACCACAGTACCACATTGCACTCACATCATTAATCATTTGTATTTGTTCAATCAATTCACCTATAAAACCATGCCGATCGATATTATATCCTTCAATAACCACGTAGTTTCGTTGGCAAAATTCCGACCTCACCGTCTGGCGCACCCAAGGGTCACCTGGGGAATTTGAGTCAACTCTGCAGCAGGGAGTGCACATTTTCGCACAGGTAGGTCTTCACTCTCCCCTAGAGAAATCAGAACTGCTCGTTCTAGCACATACCCAGTATCAGCACTCTGTTAATCATCACATATCTTTGGACGTGGGCCAACAGCCCATCCCGAGAGCCTCTTCATGTAAGATTTTTGGCTTATATTTACAGTCCAAGACACATTATGCTTACGTCAGTTCGGCCACTAAAACATGCCACTTGCTTACTTACCCGATACGCAGAGTGATTAAGAAGCATGCGGGTCTCCATGAAAAACATGCGAGTCAAGTAGTGCATGCATTAGCTCTCAATAAGATTTTCTATGTTATACGATATTTTACATTCGCACAACTCGCCAAACTCTCATCAGCATTGAACAAGGCCTCTCTGAACCCTTCTATCTCCACCTGTAACCAGAACGTCTACGACACGGGACTGTTTCTCCTTTTACCTCTCTTCTGCACCTACATCTGGTTCCACAAACAGACCGCCTCTCGGGAACACCGCCGGGTAGATATATCCTGGAGCAGGCATGACTTTCTCCCAATGACCTTCCATTACGTATACCCGAACTCTACCCTCGAAGCTGCTTTTTGGCCCGGTACCTCGCCGCATATCCCTGTAAATAAACAACGGACGCAGAAGGGATCAGGCTATTCATCATAATTAACCCATCATTTGACACACGAATCATGTTTATACTTTTACTTCCTTCTCTTGGACAGGAGCCACGGGAACTGCGGCATGCGCAATTTACACACCACAATCCCCATCCCTCCAAGTTCATACCAGCGCTTCATATAACAGCCCCCCACCCCCCCCCCCCCCTCCGCACAATGTAATCCCATTAGGATTAGTTCTAATCATACAGGCTATTCAACATTTTGTCCAACTGCCTCGCACCTCAGATTATTTTGTCTATACGGATTCTCAGGGTGTCATTCGCGCCTTGCAGAAGCACAAAATCCCTTCAGATCTCCGATGAGACATCGAGATCGCTCACATTTTATCCATCCTCGTTCACCATTAGGCTTTGCATGGATTGCAGGTAGTAAGCTCGTTCATCAACACACCCGCGAAATGTATATCCAGGCACCTGCGAAACGCTGTTCTCCTAGTCCCCCACCAGTGATGAGGCTTTGACGTACGAACGCGCAATCAAATATCACTAGAAGCATCTCCGCGACTCTTAGCAGCTAGTACTTCGGCCCCAACTTAATCTCGATGTGACGCAACCCCACCCCCCTCCTTAGAAAGATCCACATTCTCTCCTAACTACCTCCCTAGCCTCCTGCCACCTCCTGGAGTGCCTGGCTAGCGTCGGAGAAACTAGAGGGTCAAACGACATTGGTATACCGAGCCCTGGACGTCTTGAACACTTAATATGTGTTGTTTAATAAGGTGCATTCTTTCCCCCTCCGTCTTTACTTTCTTTGGGTGCATTTTCCCTCCAGGGTTGCATGATTATTGGGGTGCAGTACCGCTCTCCTTTATAAAAGGTTGAGCTAAAAAAACAAAAAGACGAAAGAGAAAGGTGGAACCTTTGTCTATTCCCCGGTTCGCTTTAAGCCTGATCGCACCGACGCGACAATCTGATAGAGCCAATCAAGCAAAACCAAAAGTTCCGGTGCTCGGCTATTTTTTTTTTCTTCAGGTTTTTCCATTACCCGTTTTCCAAATTGATTGCACAAAAAAAAAAAGTGCAGAACCACGGCGCCTTCACAGCGCGTAACTAAATTAATAGGTGATTGCAAACGTTTAAAAAAAAGCGCGCGTCGTAACGATGCTTTTTGGGAATGCTTGATTTGCTTGATCGGATTGTACCGTGGTCTGCGGTCAGAATTAAAATAAGACGGATCGATTCATAAAATATTAAGAAAAAACATAATTGTCGAGCCCGTCTCCTTTTTTTTTTGTCCTCGTATTTATCGCATATTTTTTAACGTTTCGAAAACCCTCGATTAATGCTATCAACGATCAAGCAGCATAAAAACTACTAACACTCCTGGCCAAAAACAAAAAAATCTTCTGTCAGTAATTCGTTTTCTTACTTAAAACTTCTGTAAGAAAACGGTTCTTCTGGGGTGTGCTTTGCTTAGAAGTAGCAAATGTACACACCGTTTACATCCCCAACTGCAGTTGAAGTCTTTTAGAAGAGGCGAAACTAGCCTTCAAGAAAAGGAACAAACTTCTTTTTTAATGATTAACTTCTGATCATTCTAATTTCTCTGGTTCGAAGACAAAGTATTCTAAGAATGGGTGCCATAATAAGATACAATATTTTTTTACGGTGTTCGGTATTGTTTCCTTCATATCGTACGCCAATAAAAGTCTTGAAGAAGAAAAAAAAAGAGTAAAGTACACAATTGTTTGACGAAATGGAGCGTGCTGGTAGGTTACAAGGATAAAAAAGCGCCATAAAGAATAAAGATAGGACAGAACATCCTTTGTGCCCTTCCCTTTAGTCAATTTATAAGATTAGAAACAGATTAACTTGCTGAAACCACAATGATTAAGTTGCACTTTCAAACCACTTTAACCTGTAAAACAAATTCGCCTCCAGAGACTCCGGCAGCAGCCCTACTCAAGTTGATTTTCATTGTAAAATGTTTATCTTTGTTTTTCCCTAGGATAATTTTCTAGGTCGCGATGATTCACTTGTTCCAATTGCCTGAAATATGGGGATTTTATATTGTGCAGCGTGGATATTTATTCCCCAATTTCTCCCGCAAATAGCTCATATTTTTACACGAAGTGAGCCACAATGGAGTTTATTCCCTGACAGGATGATAGCGGCAGGAAGAAGTCCATCCGTCCCACCTCTAACACGAGCTCCCTAATGTTGTAACGTCTAGGCAGCTCAAAGTTTTCAATCACAGCCAAAGCACGAAAAAAGAAGACGAGAGTGATCTGGAAACAGGGCGACTGAAAAGGACACCCGCGGTTTTAATCCTATTTTAGGCTATGACTTTGTGTATTCCTTCGGAAAATGAGACGTCCCTCGAGATATTGCTTTTTTACCTTGTTGTACCACCAGGAGTTTGAGTGTAAATTTTGTTCACGTTCGCACCGAAAGGCCTTGTCTGAATAAAGCTACAAACAACGAGTACGGTTCACCGGCCTGATACGACGGGAAGGAAGGTTCCATTTCTCGTAAGCCAGGAGGCCTCTTGCGGAGCTGACAATGTGTACCTTGAATAGCTGTTTCAGATTAAACATTGTTACGTAGTCTAGTGTAGTCGCCTTTTTTCGCTGGGGAAGTCTGTGTCTAAGCGCTTTCTTGGTGTAACGCTTACCACTCCCAAAGATTTTTTTTTTCGTATAGAATTATTGGATATTATGTGAACAACGCATTATGCATCCTACTTAATTGAACGCATTGAGAAGGCTTGACAAGGCCAGGAGATGTTGAAAGCACTGGAGATGACATGATGCCCTCCCAGATTTTCTGCCTACGTTCCAAGCGCCGTAATAGGCTCCCAACAATATTTTGAAATCGCTTGCCTAATTACTCTACGCGTAAAAAGAATATGTTGATGTTTCTAAAAGACGAGCGAAGATGTTTGAAATTCAGGTATGTTTCAATTCAGTACCATTTCGCTTGACTGTAGACTAAGTTCATAAAAAAATGATAGTGTTTTTTGTTGCAAGAAACTTATTCTGTTAACCTGCCATTGAACACTGTCGAACATGGTTATTATAGGCTCATTTATTTGGACCTATTACGAGGTTTATTAAGACAATTGTACCGACAGGAATCACGGTTTTAGTTAATGACAACAACGATGACGTGAGGCGGTACCGGGTGGCCGCGGCGCTACGCTCTGGCCCTGTACATGAATGCAACCGGGGTGGCAGCCGTCTGCCTCGACTAGGCCACCCCTGGGGCCCGGCTGCACCGAAGCGAGCGGCCGCACCGTCAGGCACTAGGGCTTTGCCATTGAGAAAGCGCATCGAACGGCCCGCCGAGCGTCGCCTTGGCTCTTTGGCCTGCTCGCCTGATCCGCCACCGAACTTTTAAGGCCGCGTGGCAGTTCAGAAGAGCAGGTCGCCCTCATCATGCATGTCGTCTTCTGCACCACCTGTCCGCCGGGGCTTTTCCAGCCACAACGCAGGGTGGAGCTTACGGACTCCGTCCTAGAGAGCTTTCCAAGACGCTTCTGCGTACTGGACGGAGGACCGCCCGGAGAGCAGCC